TTATTATTAAAAATGTTAAATTAAATTTATTTATCATATTTTTCAAGTGGTCACTTTTTTTTGATCAATACTGTAAGTTTAAAACTAAGTATGAAAAACCCAATTTTTTGATTGAGAGGTATAATTGAAATTAAAAATTGACCTTAAGTTTAATAAAGAAAATTTTTAAGAAAATTTTGATTTTATACTTAATTCAATAAAAAATAAAAACAGTGTTCAAAAAAATTTGGCCACATTTTATTTAATAAGTAGTATTTTTACCTTTTGCTTGATAAACAGCTAAAACTCTTTTATGAAAACTTTAAATATATGGTCTAACCATTTCAGGTGTAATAGAATTCCATATTTTAACAATTTCTTCTTTAAGATTTTTTTTAAGCTTACCTTTTCCTCTTAAGCACATTTTCATGTATACCCAAATATGTTCAAAAGGGTTCCTATCTGAACTTTTGACGGCCAAGATAATACATCAATATTCTTTTCATCCAACCAATCTTTTACTACATTAGAAGTGTGTTTGGGATCATTATCTTGCTGTAAGATAAATTCATCAAGTCCCATTTCAATAGCAGATTGTCTCAAATTTTGGGCTAAAATTTGTTTATAGGCTGCTCCAGTCATAGTGTTTTCAATAAAAACAAGCCTTCCAGTCCCTTGATATAATATTGAACTCCATACCATAATACATCCACCATCATGCTTTACTGTGCTAATAGTATTTTTCATATCATACCTTTTCCGGGGTAATATCTAACATATTGGGCACCATCACTGTTAAATAAATTAAATTTAGTTTTGTCAGTGAAAATAATTCTTTTTAGTGTCTCATTTTTCATACCTAAAAAATTTTCTGAAATTTTAAATCTTTTCACTATATTAATAGGTCTAAGTAATGGTTTTTTCACAGCGATTTTAGTTAAAAGACCAAAGTTTTTCAATGTTCTTGAAACTGTAGGTCTTGAAATCTTAATATTAAATTTTTCTTCAATTTTCTTTGAAATTTCCAATGATGTAATAAAAGAATTTGATTCATAAAGAGATTTAATATAAATTTTCATATCAAAAGTAATTTTACTTATTCTTCCAGAACCATATTTTCGACTAGTTGGTATCTCAGATTTGAATAAATTACAATATTTTTGGATTGTGGATCTAGCAAATCCTCTTTTTGTTACAACATGATTACAACTTAAACCATTGTTTAAATCTTCTTTTATTAAAGCTTTATCAATTTCATTTAAATGTCTAGACATGGGATAAGAAAAAATAGCATGTGAAACTGTAAAAATGGGGGGAAAATTTTACTGGCCGAATTTTTTTGAACACTGTTTTTATTTTTTGTTGAATTAAGTATAAAATCAAAATTTTCTTAAAAATTTTCTTTATTAAACTTAAGGTCAATTTTTAATTTCAATTATACCTCTCAATCAAAAAATTGGGTTTTTCATACTTAGTTTTAAACTTATGTTAAAAAAAATTAGTGGCCGATTTTTTTTGAACACCACTGTATAATTTTACTTTTTTTAAACAGTGTTTTTAAATTTTTAAATTAAAAGTATAATTTATTTAGTGTTTTTTTACATTAAATTTACTTCATATGTTTAAAAGTAAAATAATTATATAAATTTTACCTAAGAATTAAATATATATTTTTTATTTGAAAAATATAATAGCTCATTTTTTAAAAAACCACTATAAACTAATATTAACTATAAATTACCACTAGAAAAGAAATAGT